TAGACAAAGGATATTAGTGATGGCCAGGAAGTATAGGAGAGAAAGGAACTAAGAAGTGACTGTTAATGAGTATGGGTTTTCTTTTTGGGGTGATTAAAATGTTCTAAAATTAGTGGTGACTGTTGTATAATTGAATATACTTAAAAACTCTGAACTGTATGCTTTAAAAGGATGAATTTTAAGGTATATAAATTATTTTTAGCAATAATTTTTTAAGGAACAGAATGGGACCCTGCCCCTCATGTACCCGCTTCCACCCTCTGAACTGCACCCCTGGGGTATGTGGGTGCAGCCTCTTTATCTGGCACCATGGGCAAGAATAAGGGGGCATAATGTATAGAAAAGGGCTACCAATAGAGACGGTATGCAAGTGCTCTTGGGGAGAGGAGGCTGCAGTGGTGTCTCGGGGCGGGGGGGCAGCTGTGGGTCTCTGGAGGGCCATTTGCTTCCCCCAGTGGAGAACAGTTCTGCCACTACAAGGATCTCGGGGTCCTGCAGTTGGCCACCAAGATGTGGGAGCAAGTCAAGGTCTGCTTTTAAACTTTGCCAAGCCAGCCTCACATTCCTGTGGAAGGCGAGTATAGAGCAGTTAAGTTTGGTCCATTGCTCCTGGGCTGGCTTATAGCCGGTGGAATTTTGACTTCAAATTGCTGCTGCCCATTTTGGCCTCAGTTACTAAAGCACTGCTGTAATAGCCACTGTGAAGAGAGGATGTTGCTACACCTTTCCCTCTGTAATTAAAAAAAAAAAAAACTGATCTGAAAGAAAAGGAGCCTGTGCTGAGCCCACATCCTGAGAAACCAGAACTGAAGGAGCAGATGGGAGAGAGAGAGTTGGCATGAGTGGAGGGTGAGAATTCCCCAGAATGGACAAGGTCATGGTAGAGTGGATAATAGAACCCAAAAAGGAGAAGGAGCCCATCCCTGATAGGACATATGGGCAGAAATATCCTTGCAATGATGGGACATTTACAACCACTTTAATTCTTTCATTGAGTGGGCACTGCTGAGAGCCTCCTTGGTGCTTGATCTTGAGTTGGGAACTGTGCATACAGAGACAAAGAAACCATCATCCCATTATTCCCAGAGTTTTCAGACAGGCTGCAACACCTGTCTCAGCGTAATAACTGGTGACCTCTCAGAACATTACCACCTCCTATTTACACTGCCCAATGTCTGAGGATGCAATGGACCACATCAGTAGCTCTTATGTTCCCCTTAGCTGGAGAAATGAAGAGTTGCTGGATGTACCTCTTCTGGCATTTATGTCACCATGACAGCATCCCTTAGCCCTTCATCTGATCCAAGGGCTGAAATGAATATTGTAGAAATCAACTAGAAATTGCACTCTCAGCTAGAGGATAGCAAACAGCAGTTCTGAGACCCCAAAGCAAGTTTTCTTACACCTAAAGCTCCTCCTTTTTCGTTGGTTAATGAGTTGCAGAAATACATGTGTGTAAATTTCAAAGACAATAACAACTCCGTGCTGAGAGAGGCTGCAGCCTGAGGAGTGGGAGCTGGCCAAGAAGCTGTCACTGGCTGAGCAGCTGAGGAATGAGAGCAGGAATAAAACAGTAAGAATGAGAGCTTTGTGAACTAACACAAGTTATTAGAAGTGAGAGATGTATTATTTCTCCTCAAGGAGCATCTCAAGGACCTTCTCACCTGTGGTCACATAACACCTCCAACAATGACTGGCTGATGGGTGCAGGCTGGCAGAGCACTTTGTCAGTAACCTCAACCCAGAAAATCTGGAAGGTGACAAAAATGGAAAAGAACAGCAGTCACTGGTACCCAGGTTGAGCACAGAGGGACTGCACCAGCAGGAAGAATAAGACATCCTGCAGGACTCACAGTATGAAGGCTGTAAGACTTCCTCTAGTCACTGTAACCTGACACCCAGCAGCCTCCCAGCACCACTACTGTACTATTAGATGACCACAATGTCTCCTGCAGCTAAAAGTCAAGACAGTCAGAAACAAGACAAAGAGGAAGAGCCCATTGTTTCCAGGGAGCTGCAAGAGACAGAGAAAATGATTGAAGTGTTGCAGGACTCATTGGATAAGAAGTTTAATGCTTTTTCCAGTTTTCAGGATTTGCCTGACTCCTTTGGGGTTTCCCAACAGCCCAGGCTCCCCATACCTGAGGAGTGTGTGGTTCCCCTTACTTTGGATGAAGCAAAAAATAACAGGGATTTCTGTTTTGGAATTCAAATTCAGGACCTAGACTTGACAGGGCAGAAATTCCAGAATGGAGAGATGTCATCTTCTCCCTCCATCTGAATTTTAAGGATGTTCTTAGCCAGATGACCCTGACAAGGGCAGAGCCACCAAAAACTAGCTGAGTGGTACAAGCTGGCCAAACACTTCATCCTCAAGCTCAGTCCAGAAAACCACAGTGATGAGGATATGAAGAACAAGAGTCAACTGGATTCCAGTCTGCACTATGAGCTACAGGAGGACAAACCTGATGCATTCCTCTCACATTTAGTTAGGGGAACAGTTCTTCCTCCCTTCTAGTCATACCGACATGCCTGATTTACAAGAACATCTTAGAAGCACTGCCTTCCCATTAGATGAGCCTGAAGTGAGCTATGCTCTGGATGGAGCCAGAATTCAAAATGATCAGAAACAAGAGGGAGAGGAGGACCCCATGGTGTCCAGGCAGCTGCAAGAGATGGAGAGAATGAAGGAAGTGATGAAAAGCTCATAGAAACAAAAGGTTTTGGCTTTTTCCTCTTCCCAGGATTTGTCTGAGTACCCTGAGCCTCTCAATAGTCCAGCCTCCCTATCTGAGTTCCCTCTACATGAGGTCAAAAATCAAAATGCTTGCAAGGATGAAGTACCAGAGCCAAAGACAACCAGGGATTTCAATTTTGTAATTCAGTTTGAGGCTCTAGTTTATGCACTTAAGACAAAAATTGCAGAAATGTCATCTTATTTCTCCATCTGAGAATCAAGACTCTACTCACCCGAAATGACTGACAGAAACCAGAGGCAGAGCCAATGAGAACAGCTGGCTGAGTGGCACAAGCTGCCTGAGCACCTCACCCTCAAACTGAGCCTTAAAAACTTTAGTGATAAGGATGATGAAGAACAAGAGTCATTAGATTCCAGATCCTAAATATTGTTGACTGAAGAAGACTGCATCACACAAGGAGTAGCTTTTTCACTTCATAAAAAAGTTACATATACCAACAAGCCAGTTAAAGGCCAAGCAGAACACGGGAGGGATCCTTCATGAGCCTTAGATTTTACAGCCAGAACAGTATTTGATGATTTTTACTCCAAAAGGCCACTGTTATTATAGAAATCACAGTCCCTCTGCTTCTAAATGTGATAAATACCTCAGAGACCAAGGCCTACATCTAGTGTGTCCATCACTGATTCCTTGATGCTGGGACTGGTCACTTGGTAAGGAGGCATCCACATCATTAGTTCAGGGAATATACACTCTGTTCTCTATTAGTGTTTGGAGTGGTACTTTCAGAACAGATAAATATCTTATACTCTGATGATCTTCCTTAAAATATTTTACCATCTAGTTACATTTCTGTGTAAATTATTACACCTTGAACCCTGGCAACTGTCTAATTTAGCTCTTCCTATTGAAAATAAAATAGGAAAGAATGGTCTCATAGCACTTGGGCATGGGAATCTGGATCTGAATAAAGAAGTAGAGGGGCCAGACTCTGAAAAGGACTCATAGTCCACTGTGAGTGGATTGGATGTCTGCTGCTCCATAATCTACGATGAGTTGTCATACACAGTTCTTTCCTATTAAAACAAAACCTGGAAATCGCCTGGGGAGGTGCACAGAGTCCAGGCCCTTCAGGCAGCTTTGTGGGGGTTTCGGAGAGCTGGACCGCGGCGGCAGCCCGGGGGATGGGATGTTCCGAGGGTTAAGTAGTTGGTTTGGCTTGCAGCCGCTGGGACAGAGACAAATGGCGAGCCCACTCCACCTGAGCGACACAGAGGCGGAGCCCTCAGAGGAGCAGTAGCTAGAGGACCCGGAGCTCCTCCACCAGGCCAGAGGCCTCGGCAACTATCTGTTTAACTTTGCAAGTGCCGCCACAAAAAAGATAACTGAATCAGTCGCTGAAACAGCACAGACAATAAAGAAATGTGTGGAAGACAGAAAAATAGATGACATCATTGATAAGACAATTATAGGAGACTTTCAGAAGGAGCAGAAAAAATTTGTCGAGGAACAACATACAAAGAAGTCGGAAGCAGCCATGACTCCATGGGTTGACAGTCATGATGAGGAAACCATTCAACAGCAAATCCTGGCCCTATCAGCTGACAAGAGGAATTTCCTTCAGGACCCGCCCCCCGGCTGGCGTGCAGTTTCACTTTGACTTTGATCAGATGTCCCCCGTCGCCTTGGTCATGCTGCGACAGGACGAGCTGCTGAGCAAGATGCACTTTGCTTTGGTTCCTAAACTCGTGAAGGAGGAGGTGTTCTGGAGGAATTACTTCTACCGACTGTCCCTCATCAAGCAGTCGGCCAAGCTCACGGCCCTGGCTGCACAGCAGGCCTCCTTTAACAAGGAGAAGAGCGGCCCCTCAGGCGCCAACTCGCCGCTGACAGAGGCAGTACGGCCCCAAAGGCTACCTGTCGGAATCAAATCTCAGTTTAAAACTCAAGAGGACGAGGAGAAAATTTCCACAAGCCCAGGTGGTTCTGAGTTCGGCAGTGATGCCTTCGATGCCTGTAACTTAAATCAGGAGGACTTAAGGAAGGAAATGGAGCAACTTGTGCTCGACAGAAAGGAAGAGAAGATAGCTGTGGCAGAAGAGGATTCTGCCGATTGGGAGAAAGAACTGCAACAGGAGCTTCAGGAGTACGAGGTGGTCACGGAGTCCGAGAAGCGAGATGAGAACTGGGATAAGGAAATAGAAAAAATGCTTCGGGAAGAAAACTAGCTGTCTCCCACAATAAACGAATAACCCTTGCCATTCCGCAGACTGACATGAAATTCTTGATGTTGACACTCAATGAATCAGAAGGCACAAAAATTTTTTTTCAAGCTGAAAATTGTCTCTTCTACTTTAAAAGTATGTAGAACAGTTATTCTAATAATCATGAAAGGGATGTTTTATGTAGCATTTCCTTAATATAAATCACATTAGAGTTGTTTTTTTAGGCGGTATATATAGATATTTTTGCCACAGAAACACATGTGAAATTTTTAGAGTTGTTTTCCATAAGATCAGAAGTATCATTTCTTACAGTTGTGTAAGCATTTGTGTTCCTCACTGCATTGTTGTTGATACTGAATAATTCTATTGTTCTTACTGAATAGATTACTATCAAAATGACCAAATTATACCAAAGAATTTAAGAGGAAACACTTTCAGAACTGTTTTCTTGCTAGTTTTTTTTCCCCTAAACTTCCATCTGAAAGCCAAAAGGTAAGATAATGAAGTTGACTGGAGACACCTGTAACCCCAGCGCTCAGGAGGCTGAGAGGCAAGAGGATCGCCAGGGGTTTGAGGCCAGCCTGAACTACATAATGAAGCCCTCTCAAAAAACCAAAAAAATAACTACGTAAATAAATGAAGTTGATCAGAATGCTACAATGAACACAGCTTGACCATGGGCAATTCTTTGCAAAGCCAGGTGCCGCCTGAGCTAGAGCACTTGCCTGGTGTGCAGGAGGCCCTGGGTGGGAGTCACAGAAAAAAAGATTATTATGCAAATATTTGTAAAGGGCCGGGGGTGTAGTTCAGTGGTGCTGCACCTGCCTGACAAGCGCAAGGTCCTGAGTTCCATTCCTGGTACTGGAAAAAAACATTGTACAAACTTTTCCCCCAGGGTCTTGTGTCTTTCATTGCTTCACTCGTTCTTTCTTTTTAAACTTGACTACAAATGTGACGTGATGGTTTTTGTAGCAAGCAGGGCCTTCTGTCCATTTGTATTAATGACTTTCAGAACCCTGTGTACCCTGTTCCTGTTTTCATGGTCACTACATATCAATGTTACGGCTTTGTCTTAATTAAACCACCATTCTAAAAAAAAAAACAAACCTAGAGAACCTAAATATTCTAAGAGCATAGTAGTCAGTTCTACCACAAATCTCTCTGGAGGCAGTTGCTCAATTAACTACCGTCTGTGTAACACATGCTGGTGCAGACAGTGCCTTCGCCTTTCCAGCCCCCAACTTCCCTGTGCAGAATCTCCCCTGTACAGCAGCACTTCCTCAAGTTTAGTAAGAACTCCCACAAGGACTTTGCCTCTTGCAGGGAAACTCCTTAGTGTCCAGGGACTTTGAAATGAATTAAAATAAGCCAGGGCCGGGGATTTAGCTCAGTTGTTTCACTGCCTGCCTCGAAAGCGCAAGGTCCTGAGTTCATTCCCCAGTATCAAAAAAAAAAAAAAGGTCCAAAATGATAAGCCAGCCAAGGACAGTATTTATAATTAGCATTTTCTGTTCACAAATTAGGGTTTATTAGAAATAAATGTCTTATTAGAGGGCAATTTTGAGTATTGAAATGCTTTGAATAAAAAGGTCTGTCAGTCCTCATTGTCTGGCTTTCAAGTCCTCATATGAATTCCCATCCTCCCTGTTTTGTCCAGTGTTTCTACTACAGTCACTTTAGTTCCCCAGCCTGCTGGCCCATGAGAACCCCTGGGTCTTCACTCAGGTTGTTCTAGGCTCCTAGGATCACCTCTTTCCTCCCACTTTCCCAGTCTTAACCATGCTGCCTTGTTAGCTCCACTCTTAACTCCTCCTCAAAGCTTGCCTGCCCCTCACAAGTCTAGGCCACACTAATCATCTGCTTTTCTGAACAGATGTGTCTCCCGTGTTACACGTCAGCCTTCCCCAACAAAACTGTCAGGTCACGGAGGAGGTGTAACTTATATTTCCTTGTTTCACTAGGGTTCTTTTTTTTTTTTTTTTGAGGTACTGGGGATTGAACTCAGTCACAACTTGAGGTTGTGAGGCAGGTGCGGTGCCACTGAGCTATATCCCTGGTCCTATTATATCCTATTTTTAAATATTCACTTCCTTAAACAAGGAACTTGCAGTTTAATTAAATTTAATGACATACCTTCCACCAAAATTTTGCCTTCAATTACAAGGATAGAATGAATCTTTATATGCTCTGTGCTGTCCAAGTTTTTTAATAATTCTCAACCGATTCCTCTCTACTCAAAAACAGTAACAGGCAATTATCTTTTCAAGTAGCTTTTTCTGCATGAATAGACTCTCTCAGTTGGCCAGGAAGTCAATGCCCTTGGTAAGGTGTCATTGCCTTGTACTTTAAAAAGATAGATTTCATACTGAACCCACTAATTTCTTGCTGAAGCCACTCCTGATACCACTAGCATAAAATTGGGGTCTTCCAAGTATCTTCCATGTCCCTTTTCTTGAATGCTTTTATGCTATATATTTATAATTTTTAAAAAATTTTATTTTTTTTCTTGTGGAACTGGGGACTGAACCCAGGATCTTCACACTGAGCTATATCCCCAGCCCCTTTTTTACTTTGAGACAGAGTCTCACTAAGTCACTAAGTTGCCCAGGTTGGGCTTGAATTTGTGATCCTCCTGCCACAGTGCCCCCCAGAGTGCTGGGATTATAGATATGTGCAACCACGCCCAGTTTGTTTTCTTTTTAAGCCTCACAAACATGGAAAAACAAACACATAAAAACTGTGAGGCATATCACAGGGCTGTTAACTTTTGCCATGCTTTGGATGTAGAATTACAAAGCTGTCAATGTTTTCTTTCTTCTCACCACAATAAAGAAGGAAGAAGAGCAGAAATGAATGGTAAGGTTATTTGCTAGCAGAAAGAAGAGGTGGCATTCCACATTCATTCTGCAAACCAAATGGAAAAAATTACTTTCCTAACTCATGCCGGGACAGTGTGGCCCCACCTTGGCAAAGAAGCCAGACAAAATACACAGGCAGCAGTTTTCTGGCCTAAACAGTCAGCTTCTCTGAACTTCATTCCTGACAGTCATTCCTGAGTTTACTCTGGGTGAGTGCTGGAGCATATTCTTTGTCCTGGGCCCGACTATGCTTGCAAGCAGGTAGATTTTCTTGCAAACCTTTATAGTCAGGCAAAATATAGCCAGAAGGAGGAAAGCAATTTGTCACCCCAGGTTGAGAAGAGAACCTCATGTGTACCTAGTGGCCTGCACAGTCCTAAGCAGATAGCTATCATATATGAAATATTTTTACTGCCTTTTTCTCCTTCCTACCTTCCTTCCCTTTTTAAAATTTGGGACAAGGTCTTGCTATGTAGTCCTGGATAGCCTTGAACTCCAATTCCCCTACCTCAGCCTCTTGAGTGCTGGGATTACAGGCATGAGCCACCATCCCCATACTTTATTGCTTTCCTACAATACCTTCTTTCATGTACAAATACTCCTTCAATTAGGTTATATTTTCCTAAATGCTCTCCTTTGGTCATGAGCAAGTATAGACTGATCTATATAGCCATGATAAGTAGCCTGTCTCCGAGCTTCCCATAGGGAAAACTGAAATCTGATTATTCTTTTTTTTTCACTTAGTCTCTAGGTTGAGAACTCCAAGCAGTAAGAGGCACAGGATAAACAGGGGAGAGGGTGAGCCTTTTTGAGAGTCTATCCCTTTGCTGAATGCCACTTTGAAAGGAAAGAAGAAGTCAAATGGCAATTTCCAGTCGATTCTGGGTTGGGTTCTTGGAGGCTCTGGCTTCTGTGTAATGTCCACAAAGTTTATAAGAGTTGTCAAAGATACTTCTGTTCCTTTTTGGGAAACCTATGGGAAGAAAGTCAGTGAGGTTATTGCTTGGTACCCATTCATGTAGGCTTTCAACTTGGCTCTATTATTTTTCTTGAAGAAAGACCAGAAACACATTGCTTTTTGGAAGGACACCCCCTTGTATTGGTCCTATGTAGTTCTTTTTCTATGAAATAAGAAAAATGAATTTCTTAGCAATAGTACATGATGCGAGAACTGTGAACAGTTAGTGGTACTTCACAAACTTGATTCTGGTTGCAAACCGAGTTGGACAAGAACCACATCAAATTCAGTGGTTAGGTTCAATGTTGACCTTATCTGGAAATTTGATTTGGTTCTAGTTCAGTTTGGTTTGCAACCAGAATTGTGGAGAATTGAGTTCATGAACCAAGGTACCACTGTGCATACCCAAAGACTGACTTGGTTGCACCCAGTTGTGGAGTTGTCTGACACCAGGGAGGCAGGGGGGCAAAAGTGCTGTTGTTGTGTACTTAGTAGCTCCACCCTATTGGGTCTCAGAAGCCTGTAAGTTCATATACTAAGGGAAGCAGTAAAGTAAGGTGAAATTTCATTGTAGAAAGAGTGAAATTTTATGGAAAAGCAAGAACTCAGTAATGTGGACTTAACAGAAGCAAAACAAAACAAAACCAGATTCACAGACTTCCAGGGTTAGAAAGGATTCTCCCATCCACCCACCAATTCAAATAAAATAAAACAAATGTTCCCAGGAGAAAGGACCTTGTTAAGCTAACACAAGTATCTAATCTAATAGACATGGCTTTTGAATATGGCTGCTGCTGCTGTCAAACAATGGAATCATATTTATCTAAAAATTCCCTTAGGGGCCAGGGATTTCAATGGTTTTGCCACCTGCTGTGCAAGCGCAAGGACCCGAGTTCGATCCCTGGTTCAGAAAAATAATAATAAAAATTCCCTTCGGCTGGAGGTTTAGCTCAGTGGCGCCAGCGCCTGCCTGGCAAGCACAAGGTCCTGAGTTCAATCCCTGGTTCCAAATAAATAAATAAATAAATAAAAATAAAAATTCCCTTTGTCCTGATTCTATGTTTACCAAGCAAACTTCTGAGTGTGATTTGACAATAAATAACTATCCTGTGGAATCTGGAATGAAGATTTCTCTGTTCATTTTCTACCATTCTGACGCACATATGATCTGCTGTGGTCTTTGAACAAAGTAAAGACTAAGCTCTAGGAATGTAATTTTGTCCAGAACAACCATTGCAGGGGTTGTATTTACTTATTTTTTGTTTTTAAGACAGTATATAGCCAGTGCTGGAATAATCTTACATGTCACATTAATTCTTTGGGTTTTTCTTTTTTTTTGGTACTGGGGATTGAACTCAGGTCCTTGCGCTTGTGAGGCAGGTGGCAGAGCCACTGCGCTAAATCCCTGGCCCTGGATTTTTCTTTTTAAACAGTGAAGCTTGTAAGTGATTTGGCATTGAACAAATGTTCTGAGATGCTGAGCCATGTACATTCAAGGATAGCTAGCCAAGACTGAAGTTGCACAGGGAACCCTGATTCCAGCTAAGCATAAATAACTCACTGAGACTAACTAGACAAAGAAAATTAGGAGCTTTACAAGTACTAAATTTTAGTGGGCTTTATTTTACAAAAGGATTTATTGTTAGGACTTTTAATTTTTCCCCAGGAATTTTATAGTAGAAAGATCTATATATTCAATTTTTGAAGCAAATCTGGTATTACTGAAGTATATTAAGAGTGTTATTTAAAGAATGCCTGGTGAGCTGTTCTGGCCAGGATAGAAATACTTTGGGATAAAGTTAGAAAAGGAAATGGATTTTCAGTTTTGGGTTCAGTGTTGTCTAGGAATTAACTTAATGTGCTATTCGGACTCTTTTCAGAGCCTTCAGGAGGAGGAGACTCCAGGGAGCTGTTGTTGGAGTTAGGGTACTGGCCTCATGATGGAAGAGTAGAGTACTATTGTATGAGGAAACCCACTGCCAAATACCCAAGCCATATCCACCTATCTAGTGCTTATTATTAACAGACTTGACATATTGATCTCTATCTGTCTAATTCATTTTTAAATTTTCAAAAAAGTTTTAATTGAGAAGCTTAGAGCAGAAGCCTCTTGAGTCCTGCCTGGGCAGTTCAATGACTTAGCAAGACCTTGTCTCAAAATAAATAAAAAGGGCTAGGGATGCAGCTCAGTGTGAACACTGTGGGTTCAATCTCTAGTACCAAAAAATGTATTTTAAAATTGGCACATAATAGGGCTGGGGAGGTAGCTCAGTGGTACCACATCTGCCTGGCAAGCGCAAGGTCCTGAGTTCGATCCCTGGTACAAAAAAAAGGCACATAATAGTTGTACATATTTAATAGGGTACAGTGTGATGTTTTAATACATGTATACAAAAAATAATCATCAGATCAGGGTAACTGGCATATCTACCAATCAATCATTTATAATTTCTTTATGGAGAGAACATTCAAAATCTTAAGTAGCTATTAAAAAGTAGATAATTAATTGTATATCTGACTCCTTTGAACTGGAAAAGAGGAGTGAAGGCTAATGAAGCCTTCTTATCCTACCAACTCGGGAAAGGCTCGAAGATAATCACAAGCCCAAAGAAGCAACCTTTAGGCCCATGTATAGTCAAATGTAGTTATAAGTCTACAGTGGTGTTTCAGTGGCTAGGAAACCACATGAAACGGGTTGTTTGAGCAAGGTTGTTCTTCCAGACTCACCTGGGATATGTAGTCATCAAGAACTACTACTAGATTTCATTTTAAGGCAGCAATGTAAAAACATATCTTCTTCCTATGCACCTTGAAACCTCTTCAACAAGAAACAGACAAAAATTCCAGTAACAAATGTGAAAGCAGATGGAGGCAAGGGTTCACAAAGGGAACAAAGGCTACCCTAGAAACCTTCAGAGACTAGAAACAAGTGGAATGTCTCTGTAGGACCCGAAAGACTCAATAAAAGATGAAAAGGAGGTAGGGATGAGGGAGGAACACAAAATGGTATTGAATGATATCCTCTCAGTGGAGTCCAGCAACTATCCCTTCACCTCAACAAAAAAACCGGACAATGTAAGCCAGATAAATTCTGGACTTAGGGAACTGGGAATAGAGGAAGACAGAGTGATATACAGAATGAAAAATTCAGGGATTACTCTGTATGATGAAGTCCCTTTGCTTATCTAGCTCTAAAATGCTGGCAGATGGTCTTGGACTGGAGAGCCTTCTCTGGAGAAAAATTAACAATCACAGCAAAGATACAAAGATCCTAACACTCAGCAGTTCCACAACCCCAAAAGCAACTGCACCTAACTGCCCCACAGTGAAGGTCACAGTAAATCTCATATGGTCACTGAGCTTTCAAACAGCTCAGAATCTTATTATTTTGGATAGACAGCAGTTAACAAATGTGGGCAAAGGTACTCACATTAAAGAGAAACCTACCAAATGAACAGAATCAACAAACTCAAAGCAAACATAATGAACAACAAAGATGCAAAGTTGTTAATATCTTCAAAGATATCTTTAAAAAAGATATTATAAAAAGAAACAGAAAATAAGAAAGAACTCAGGCTAGTGGTGTACCTCAGAGGTAGAGTGCTTGCCAAGCATGTTTTGGGCCCGGAGTTCAATCTCTAGCAAGGGGAAAAAAATCAATAAAAAGGTTAAAATGATAAAGTTGAGGAAATTTTCTACAAAGTATAAAAAGATTAAAAAAGAATAGACAATTGGGCTGGGGATTTGGCTCAGTGGCGCCATGCCTGCCTGGCAAGTGCAGGGTCCTGAGTTCCATCCCTGGTATGGGGTTGGTGGAGGTGGGGATGGGAAAGAAATAGACAATAAGAAAAAAAATGACAAAATCAATATAGTTTCCTTGTAACAGATTAATAACAGTCCCCAAAAAAGAACAGAGAGAAAAGAGTAAAGAGGAAATTATTAAACATGCAATAACTAAATCTTGCAGAACTGAGTTCCAAGAATAAAAAATCCACAAGTGACTCAGAGTAATGAATGAAGAAAAGGGTTACCCAAGGCATATTATGGAAACTTAAGATTACTAGGAATAAAAAGAAGATTTTTTTGCGCGGGGCGGGGGGTGGGCCCTGATACTGGGGATTGAATCCAGTGCCTTCACAGTGAACTACAACCCCAACTTCTTTATTTTTTATTTTGAGATGGGGTCTCATTAATTTGCCCAGGCTGGGCTTGAACCTGTGATCTCCTCCCTTATTTTCCCAATGCAAAAAAGCAGATTTTAAAATAATTTCTAAACTGTAGCATTAGAATGAGAATACATGGGAAAAATGTCTTCAAAATCTTGAGTGAAAACAATTTTCAATCTAGAATTTATACTTAGGCAAATAATCAGTTAAGGATAATAATGCTATGATGATGGTTGAATAAAGTTATTTTTAGACAAATAAACTAAAGAAAAAAACATACTTTATACCTTTTCTAAAGGTCATTACAATGTGAGCTCCACCAAAATTAGACAGTAAAACAAAAGTGTGTCCAGTAAACAGTGAATCTTATACAAGTAAGAAATAAGAATTCCCAAAATGATAGTAAAGTCCCATGACAAGTGTTGGGTAGTAACTAGTGCCTACTACAGCAAGTTATGGATGTCTCCATGAAGAAAATACATAAAAGAAAGTGGAACTGATAGATTGTATGGGAAGTTCAACTGTTTGGAAAACTGAGTTGAGAGGCATTTACACAGCTATTGGAGAATGTGAGAAGTCTTAGCCACTAGACCAAAGAAAACTAAGAATGAAATGTAAGTTAATTATTAATATTAGGAAAAATAAAAGGTTTCACAAAAATTGAGCTACTTGTCTCATCATGAATGTTTACACAGTCATCAAAATAAGACTGTATATTGGTTTAATAAAGTATTTTGATGTAACTACATTAGGAGAGTGATGGGATGAATAGAAGAGAGTAACAAAGCTGAACTCATGAAAATAGAAAATGAATTTATTATCCCCAAAATTGATGATTCAAAAGCTAAG